ACACTGCTTTACAAATTGTTGTTTGATCTATAGCCAAGCGAGTGAGTTGTTTCCCTTACATATATAATTATGTGGTTGAGGCCATCAGACCAAAAGCATATGTGCAGACATAGTAAAATCTGTATAGAAATGCAGTTATGTATGTACATATATGAGTTATTTAATAGCGTCACATTTCAAGTCAACCGAGTCAGTTGGTTATTAGGACTTACTACCTCAAGGGCAAAGTCCATGTTGATCTGGATAAGCTTTGAATTAGAAAGAGATTTTAGTTTTTATTTTATTTGTCTAAAAAAACAATCTTGATTTGTTGAAAGGATGCTCGACTCATTGTTTGGAAAACTTAAAAAAAAATATAAAAATAAACTAAAATTTTTATTCTTTTAAATTAAATTTAATTTTTTGTGCCTTAAATACTTATATTTCTCAGTTAGATTTTTACTTTTTCCTTAAATATTTGCGAGCAAAACCAATGATCAATGGTTTAAAAAAAGCTCAACAGTTTTATATTATATATAATGATATATCCTGTTTTCTGTTTAGTAAAATAATTTGCTAACTAAAGCATTTACAAGAAAATATATGGGCAAATGAAATGCATTTGAAGCCCTATTGATAGCACTAAGCCCTAAAGCAGTTCCAAAGGAGTTTTTCCGAAATAAATTAAAATATATATCACCAAAAAAGAAATGTTCTTTCAAATCATCAGTATTTCAAGGCAGGTCCTCGAACACCAGAACAAATGTCAAATTAATTTTTCGCATTTAAATTTAACGATTATAAATGTGGTTAACCTGAAATGTTGCCTACATTCGGGTGCTTAATTTAGCAAAGGCACATACCTCGTTTTAAAATGAAATAAACTAAAATGAAATTAAATAAATTAATTTAAAATAAAATAAAGCAAAATTCAGTTAAAATAAAATAAAATAAAATTCAGTTAAAATAAAATATAACAAAATATATAATAAAATTAAGTTATATTATTAAAATGTATTAAAATAAAAACAAATAAAATATGTTCAAAAAAAAATTAAATAAAATAAAAGTAAAATGAAAATAAAGCAAATAAATTAATATAAGTCAAATTTAAATAAAATAATTTAATATAAAAAATATAACAAAATAAAAAAATCTTTTAATTAATCAAAAAGTTTTGTATTTATTTTTTGCCCATATAAAATCTTATAAAAAAATTACCAATTTAAATATAATAAGAAGATGTATTTTTATTTTAGTCTGAATATATTTTTATTCTTTTACTTTCGTTTTACAAAATTAAAGCAGGGATTTTATTATTAAATAACTGTTTTTATTTTACTTTTAAAATTTTTAATTATTCTAGTAAACATGCTATATAAACTGCCAACCCCACCTGGCAAGCCACTACTTTTATCCATGAACATTTCAAGTTTGAAGTCAATGCTATGGCTTGTTTCATATATACACGCACATACTATCCTTTTGTGGGTGTAACTGTGTAACGATGCATGCCACATAACTTTGCAACAACAACAGCTGCACTTCGTGCAAGTAACTGTATGTTATGTATACATTTTTATTTTTATGTATTTTTCTTGTTTCCACTACCATGTTGTGACAGAAAACAAATGCCACTTGGCTACTTACGAGTAGACATTTAAAATACTAACCAAATGCTATGTTAGCAATGACAAACAGCTGCGGCAACTTCTGCCTCTATCAACAGTGCGTGAAACCGCAAATGTATAAAGTGCATCGTAGATATTTCAGGGTGAATATGTGCATACATTTTGGGGAGTAGGTTCTAAAACATGTTGCAAGAAGAAATTTTTGAAAAATTTTGTGGCAAATTTTTTTTAATTTTTTCTAAACAAAATTTAAATGCAAATTAATAATTTAAATGTTATGAAAAACAAAAAAAAAGTTATTTAGATTGGGAAAAAATGTAACAACCAAACAACAACAAGTTTTCGATTGTAATATTAGTTGGCCATCCAGCGAAACAAAAGAGGAGTGTGAGTTCAAAATTAAAGACTTAAGTCACGAACTTTTTCAACACTCTTGACTGCTGAAGAAGCCGTTCGTCTTCAATGTTACCATTGGTAGTTTGCACCATTCTTACTAACACACTTAATACACGAATTTTATGCAAAAACACGTTTTTGCAAAATATCCGTCTGCGGTTGATGTTGCGTATGCAGATTTTGTGGGAAATGTACAAGTGCAAGGCTTTTCTTCGCAGTGCTGATGATATATAAAATAAAAATCTCAACAAAAAATCATTACTAATGACGAAACGAAATAAATGTAAAATAAAAAATTTATATAATAATAAAACTGAAAAGAATAAAATCAAAAAAAAGTAAAAAAAAAAATAAAAATAAATAAAATAAATAAATAAACAAAAAAAAGGAATAAATTAACAAAAATATATTTGATTAAATAAAACAAAATAAAATTTAATGTGTTTATTATATTTTAAAGAAATAAAATAAATAAAAGAAAATAAAATGAAATAAAAAAAAATTTAAAAAAAATTAATCAATAAATAAATTAAAATAAAATAAATATATAAACATTAAATTAAATAAACCAATATAATTTAAATCAAAAAAAGCAAAATAAAACTATTAAAAATATTATAAAAGAAAATAAAATGTAATATAATAAACTAAAATAAAACTAAATATATTATATTATAAAATAAAAATGGAAAAAAAGAATAAACTAAAATCAAATTAAATAAATTAATTTAAAGTAAAATAAAATAACATAAAACAAAATAACTTAAACCAAATTAAGTTAAAAATTAAATATATTTTGTAGCAAGAAAAAAATTAAATAAAATAGAATAAACGAAAATTAAATTAAATTAACTAATTTAAAATAAATAAAACTAACTTAGGTAAAAATAAAATGTAAGAAAATATGTAATAAAATTTAGTGATATCGTGCACTAAAAAAAAAACAAAATAAATAATTTAATCAATTTTAATTAAAAAAAATAAATAAATAAAGAAATAAATAAATAAACATAAAATGAAATAGATTAAACCAAACTAAATTAAATTATATAAAGCAAAGTAAAACAACCTAATTTATTAAGTTATAAAAAAGAAATAAAAAAAACTTAAATGGAATAAATTGAAATGAAATTTAATAATTTAATTTAAAATAAAAATAAAATAAAATAATTAAAATAGCAAAAAGTAAAATAAATTAAACTAAATTAAATTTAATTAAGTAAACCAAAATAAGTATAGTATATATTAACAGAAAAGTAATATAATAAATAATAATAATAATAATAATAAAAAAATAAAACTAATTTCGGTAAAAATAAAATATAAGAGAACATATTATAAAATTTAGTGATATCAATAAAATATATTATAATCAAATCAGTTAATATAATAATAAATTAAATTATACAAAGTGAAATGAAATAAAATAAATAAGTTTAAGCAAGTCAAAACAAAATAAAATAATTAAATACAAAAAAAAAATAATAAAAGATATAAAGAAATTTATATAAAGAGAAAACACCAAAAAAAATATGAAATAAAAAAATTAAATTAAATTTAATTAGGTGAAATATAATAAAATAAAATAATTTCAAATAATATCAAAAAACATTTAAAATTAATTAAATCAAACTAAATGAAGAATAATAAAATTGAAACAAAATAAAATAAAATGCAACAAAAAATAATATAATCAAATAAAATTATTTCACATAAAATGAAATAAAATTAGTTTAACTACATTAAATAATATAATAAAATAAAGTTAAATAAAATAATATAACATAGTTTGATGAAAAATAGAATAAGATAAAATTAAATTAAATTAAGTTAGTAACATAAAACGAAATAAAAACAAACAAATATATTATGAAATAAAATAAAATAAATCAAAATAAAAAAGCATTATCTAAACTCAAATAAAAATAATTCACCACAACCGACAAAGAATGTTATAACAAAAAATATAACAAATCCTTCAACAACCTGCTTGCCACCAGCTACAAGCTGTATCCGATTAGTGAATAAGTTGTTGCCAAGCCAAAACGTTCGCGAGCTGGCACAATCTGTCAGCATTTAACAATTTGTTTAGCAGCAAGCTTTCATACACATTGAAAATACACATGTTACGTGAGCACAAACAAGACAGTCAAACGCAAAAAGCAAAATATACACTTTGTGCGGTCATTTCTACATACAAACATACATACTCGTATATGCACATTCAAATGACCGCACTCTAGTTGCTGTACATTCTACAAGTTTGGGTTTTATATATATATACATATATGAAAGTATGCATGTATGTGAGCGTTACAGCATGCAACACTTAATATGTAGTACAATGAGCGTATATAGCAACACATATGATTTGCACTTAAATTTTCAGCTAACCACACATACATATGTTGTTATTATGGCATGTTGCCATTTATGCTGCTTTCATTTAATGTTGAGGTCCTGTTGCTGATCTTGTTGCATACAGCATGTTGCAGTTATTATGTGATAATGACATGTTGCTAAAGTTAACTGGATTTCTCTGTGAGAGCATAGAGTGCAGTGTAATGTAGTTGTTGCCTAAAAAAACTGTTTATATATGTATGTGTGTAGACATTAGTTTGGCTTTTTTCCGCAAGTTCATGGTTAACATTATGTTGTTGTTGCTCTTTGCTTTTGTAATGTTATTATCTTTATGCACAAACATTTTTATAGCATTTTTTTTTTGTCACACGAAAAAGTCAAGCCAATATAGTTACTATGTAGGAGTTTATGTGTGCATTAGTAGTGATAAAAACTACATAAATATGTGATAAAAATGTCTTTTACTTTGTCAAGTTAATTAGAAAACTGAGAAGGTAATAAAATTTATGTACATATATGTACTTTTATAGAAGACTATTTTTTAATTTAATTTTATAAGCATTATTTATAAATACTTAATACTATTACTCCACATTTTCTAATAATTGTTTTTCTCTTATTGTTTCATTTCAGCTCCCCTCCAAGATGCAACTGAAATTCAACAATACACAGGTATGTAAAACGAAGCGCAGGAAATAAGACAAAAGTTGTAGTTCGCCGTTCTAGAGATGGTAAGGCTGGAGGTAAAATTCGTGCTGAAAAGTTATGAATGTAGGCTGAAATTATAAAATAATTTCTTTTTAAATAACTTTAATGTTTATTTGAAAAAAAAACATAAAAAATGGTCTTAATGAAGGTTAAAAATTTCGAAAATGCTAATGATCTCGATATAAGAAAATTGTGGAAGTGCAGGTGAGACAGATACCAAGAGCCGAAGAGGAAAGAAAGACTTATTTACAGTCAAAAAAAAAAACAAAGAAGGCAAGATGTATGAGTATGAAGAACTTTAGAGGCTGACCGATAAGAGTAGTGCTCGGAAAGCTTAAGCGACTTATAGAAGGTTTCAATAGGTTGATACTCATATAGGAACGAAGGTGCTGTATGGAGGGAACACTTCACCAGCCTGCTCAATGGCAATGGAAAGTGCAATAGAGATAATGAGCCCGAACCTCAATCCACTAACCAATTTTGACGAAGCCCGCTTAATGAACAACAGAGTGGTTGAATCAAATAGAGCTATTCAAATATGATGGTGCCTCTCTCGACGAACAAAGGCCAAACTCAGCCTTGAGAGTCCTCCAGAGAAAAGGTGAGCGCAGGCCTTGGAACGTTGAAATGTACGAGTTATAAGATGGCATTGATTTATTACAACGAATAAAGAGACAGTGGATGAAACCACTCAACGCTGGTGGCAGCTGAGAAAGATAACCACACCGTTGCAAGCATCAAGTAGAAAGCGATCTAGTTTCACTTGGTATTGTCAACTGGTGCCAAACCAATAAATAAATGCCAATAAAGAAGAATTGATACATTTAATTTAAAGATGCCCTTATTAAAATCTATTTTACCCGTCTAAGTATGCTCAAGCGCACATGAAAATGTCATTATATAATATAAATAATACATAAGCAATAACCAGAGGAGGCGAAAACATTAGCCTGATAGATGTTAAAAATAAAAGCATATGCATTAATCCATACATTATGGAGCTCAAAACACTAACCAATTTTACAATTCACAGCTCAGCTACATCAATTTCAAAAAAAGCGTGTCGACGTGCTGTGAAAATTAGCCAACATATAAAAAAAACAACAAACAATCAATAAAGCTAAAAACTACCAACACCCGCTCAAAAAGTTATAAATAATGGATCGACTTTTATGGCATTTAATTGTTGCTTTTATTTAATTTTTTTCTTTTCCACCTATTTTTATATTTTTATGTTAATTGTTTATTTCATTTTTATATACTTTTGCTCTATTCGCTACAAAACGGTTTAGACATTATCTGCCATAATATTGTTCACATCGTAACGTGCTATTTAATGTTTTGTATTTTGTCAGTGAATTATGACAACTTAGTTTTGTTTATGGCTTAACAATGTCTAATTGTTGACAAATGAAAATAAACTGTAAATTAGCATGCCGCCACCTCCGCTTGGCGGTCACTCACGTGTGTTCATAAGTCATAAATTACCTTTCGCACACACATTAATACAGTTTGCCATTCACACTTTTTGTTTAAACAAAGCTTGTGTGTAAATATATAATTAAGTGTTGAAGTATAAACATACTTATCAGCTGATAACTATTTCATGTGTATATTGTCATTTTGCTAGTTTTGAAATTAATGTGGTCGCGTGATTTAAAATTAATTTATTACACTTGTAGCATTTATTTATTGTTGTGTTCGTATGAATATGTTACTGTTGCATAATTATAATTACATTTTGTGTTATATTAATTAAACTGTATGCAAATGCGTCGTTCAATTGTCATAAATCTCAGTTATTAATGAAGTTGTCAAATTAGTCATTCGTAGGCACATACATACATAAAAGTAATTAGAAATAATTGTAATTAATGTGAGAGGCAATTAATTTGATAAAAAATATTGTTATCACTAAGATTTATATTGAAAAATGTCAAAGAAGAAAAATTTTTGGACACCCTGTTGTCATGTGTTAGGTCCGATCATTGAGTCAGAATTTAACGAGTCTAGAACATTCTTTGCTATTATATACGTCAGAGACGAATAAAATATTATATTAAAGTTTCCTCCTGCTATTCACAATCCTTTATATTCCACTTCTGATATTTAAATTCCACTTAGGAGTTTAGAAGTTATTTTCAATCACTTCTTCGTAGTTTCAATTTATTTTATTCCACTTCTGATATTTATATATTGTGTTTAGCTTCGCTTGGGTGTTTCAACCTTTTTACTAAAATTCTGATTTTGAATTTGATAGCCGGTTTATTTCTTCGAACCACGCCTGCTTTGATATATTTATAATGTGTCTTGACTTTCAGATATCTGAAATTGAATTAGTTATTTAATCGTAATCATCATTTACTAACTATATTTACCTCTTTTACCGCTCTTATTTGCTATTTTACAGAAGGCTGTTACTACAATTACAATCACTACAATGAAGGCGATCGGATATTAACGAATGAGCCCTGTCTGAATTGTACCTGCCACAATAAGATGCTCATGTGTTATCTGCGTGTTTGCCCATTCACCAAACCAATCGGTCACGATTGCATAGTGGAAAAGCGTGAGGATCAATGTTGCCCGATTATAACCTGTCCAGAGGGTAAATATCAATGCTGATTGGTCGCCTCATTAGTAACTGTTCTCACAATTTCACATTCTTCGTCTTTATTTTATTACATTCCACCTCAGTACCAGTTGATGTTGCGCATCATGCCCCCGAACCAGGCACTGAACTCAGCATTCCCGAGAAATATGGCTGCAGCATTGATAGCAAATTCTATCCCGAAGGCGCACAAGTACCATCGAATCCCAATAAGCCTTGCGAGTTGTGTTATTGTATCAAAAATCGCACATCATGTTTAATGCAAGAATGTACATTGCACATTGACGGTTGTACGCCCATCTATAATAAGGGATCTTGTTGTCCAGTGCGTTACAATTGCGGTAAGCTAGTGAAGAGCTCGCGCGAAAATAAAATGTTAATGTTGTATTAATGCTTCTTCTTCCCCCCTCATCTAGATCACGAAAATGACATCTTAGAATTGGAAGATCATTCATCAACCACATCTACCACCACCACCGAACGTCCCACGCCTGGTTTTATTCTCACCACCACTATGTCGCCCTCGGTGTCCACCGATTGTGTTCATAATGGCGATGTTTATGCTGATGGTGCTTCTATTACGGGCAAGAGTGCTTGCGAGCACTGCTACTGCATGCGTGGGGATATTGTTTGTGCCGTACAAGAATGTGAGATGCCAATGTTGGCTAGCAATGGCAAGAGTTGTCATGCATTGCCACCAGCGGAAGGTGAATGCTGCCCAAGTAATTATGTCTGTGAAGACGACTCAGCAACCACAGAGGTCATTGAGGTCACAACTGAGCAAGCTTTTACTACTATCGCCGACAAGGATCTCCATGGTGCCATACCGGAGGAAGATATCAAATTGCAGGATCACATTGACGATGATGAAAGACCAAAAGTGTCCACTGATAAGCCCGGAACTGGAGCAGAACCTCCAGTGGAAGGTAAACCTGCCGATCAAGTTACTACTTCAACTCCTGATTTGGCAAGCGGTATTACCGACGAAGCAGTAACAGAACCATCATCTGAAGAAACTGAAAAGGAAGAAGGTAGTGAGAGCTCAACTGAAAGTGATGCCGCAGTTGAAGCTGAAGTCACAACCGCAACCGCTGTTGAAGTCCCTGAGGATGAAAATAAGGCAGAAGAAGAATCGTCCAGTACTACAGCGCCCGCAGATGTACCCGCGGCGACAACAATTAAAACTGATGTCGCAACCGAAATTGCAACAGAAGTGTCTGATGAAGAACCCAAGTCCGAAGACGAACCGACAAGTACTGAGGCTGCGGCACAAGTACCGGCAATTGAAGTATCCGAAGAAGAACACAAAGTCGAAGGCGAACCATCTAGTACTGAATCGCCCGAACAAACACCTGAAGTTACTACTGTTGGCAACGAAGTCACAGCTGAAGCCACATCTGAAAAATCTGAGAAGGAGCATGAACCAGCAAGTACTGAGGCTGCTGAGCATGTATCTGGCACCACAACTGCGACAGATGGTACTAAACGCATTGGTATTGATCTTGACGAGCACGTGGATGCTACTGACAAACCACTTGGCTCAGAAGATGCAACCGCGGCGCCAGCTATTGAAGAGGTACACAAGCCCACAATTCATTTCGATCAACGAATTGACACCGAAACTGGTAAGCCAGTCAGCGATGAAGCCGAAACAACTGCTCAACCAGAATTTACAGAAGTATCAACAGCTACGTCGGCACCAACAAAGGTGGATAAAGAAAGCAGCGAAGAAACCAGCACCGAGTCTGCTGAAGTTGAGGCCTCCGACGAAACAACTGAACAATCTGTTTCTGAACACGAAAAACCAACCACAGTGCTGCCAGCCGTTCAAAAAGAAAGCGCTGAAGAGTCTACAGAAGCCATTGTATCCGACACAACCACAAAGAAACCAACCGAAGCCGTTTCTGAGTCCGTGGAAGAAACACCCTCTAGTACCGAAGTCAGCAAGGAAGAAGAGAGCAGCGAAGAATCCACCGAATCAGCTGAAGCTGAAGTATCAACGCCACAATCCATTGAAGTCACTAGCTCCGAAGAGCAGGTACCAGATATGCAATTGCCCGCTGTCATACCAGGAGAAGGTGACTGCCTCGTCGGTCACAAAACTTACGAAAACAATACGATCATACCAACGGCCGACGAATGTGATATCTCTTGCAAATGTATTAGCAGCATTGTGGTCTGCCAGAAAGTTGAATGCGATGTGCCAGCTGATGTTAGCAAGTGCGTTATCGACCAAGCCAGCTCTACTTCATGTTGTCCCTCATATGTCTGTGAACCAGAAGAAGTCGCAGCAACCGCTTCACCCATTGCTGAGGAAAGCGAAAAGGCAACAACTGCACCTCTCTCAGATATTGACATACCGGTTGCTCCTACTGAACAGCCAATGTCTCATGTCAAGGAGGAAGAAGCAGAAGTTGTGGAGAGTACAGCAGTACCTAAGATTGACCAACCAGCATTGACAACTGAAAGCGGTGAGGAAATTGAAAAGGTTACCATTCCACCATCTCTTCCAGTTTCACCTGAGGTCTCCGAAGAGGTAAGCGAGGAAGGCCCAGTCACACCAGTTCAACCCGTTGCACCAACCGAAGCTGATAAGACCACCGTCCGCCCTGGTGCAGATACAGAACAAGGTGAAGCAACAGCAAAACCAGTCGCCGATGAAAGTGAAACTGGTATTTCAGATGAAAAATCTACTGTGGCTCCCGCACTTGCAGAAGAAGACATCGCTACACCTGCACTTGAAAAAGAGGAGCAAGAAGTTTCGAAGGAAGAGGAGAAGACTACTGCATCTCCTGCCTCAGAAGAAGGGGAACAGACAACTGCTCACCCAGCTTTTGATGAAGTTGAAAAGGAAATTGTTCCTAAAATTGAACTTTTGGAACAAGAGGAACCGGCCACCAGCACACCTGTCGAAAGCCTTGCTCCGGCTATTGGGGAAGAAACCGGAGGTGAGGAAGAAAAAGAGGCTGCTACAATTGCTCCTTCAGTCGAAGAAGGCCAGAAAGTTATTGGCGAAGAAGAATCGACCACTCTCAGTAAACCAACTCATGATGAAATTGAAAAGACTACGACTGCTCCACCCGCTGAAGTATTTGACAACTTTACTGCCGTTCCTGCTGCTGAAGAAGGTGAGAGGACCACTCCAGCTCCTGGAACTGAAGAAATTGAAAATATTCCTGTTGAAAAAGAACCAAGTAGTGAAGAAATTAAAAAGGTTACTTCCGCCCCAGGTGTGGAAGAAGAAGAGAAACTACCCAATGTTTCGGAGGTCGAAGATAGCGAGAAAGTCACTCCTGCTCCTGGCGCTGATGATACTGAGAAGGCTACTTTTGCACCTGGTGCTGAAGAACAAGGAAAGACCACAGCCGCTCCTGGTGTTGAAGAAATCGAAGAGGCCACCACTGCTCCGGTTGTCGAAGAGGGCGAAAAAGTCACTGCAGCTGCTGGTGTTAAAGAAGTTGAAAAGGTTACAGCTGCAGCTCCAAGCGATAAAGATGTCGAAGAAGGCGTCTCAACCGCCCACGATGAAATTGAGAAGACAACTGTTTCGCCAGAAAAAGCTACAAGTGATATTACATCGGAAGAGGAAGAGAAAGAAACTCCTGCTCCTGGTTCAGAGGCAGAGTATGTTACCCTTACTCCTAGCATTGAGGGAATTGAAAAGGTTACCACCGTTCCTGTTGCCGAAGAAGGTACTTCTGCACCTGCCGCTGAAGAAGATGAACTCGAGAAGACTACGGCTACCCCTGATGTGGACCGAGTTGAGAAGACAACTGGAGCACCTGTTGTTGAGAAAGATGAGGAGAGCTTCACAACTCCTGAACAGGGCGAAAAGATCATACCTGACATTGATGCCGAAGCTACTGCTGCTCCTATTGCCGAACAAGTGGAAACCGAAACTCGTGCTCCATTTGTCGAAACAAGTGAAACAGCTACCGGTGCTCCAGTTGCCGGCGAACCCATTGAAAAGGTTACAAGTAGTCCGGAACAAGCTACTGAGGATGAGGGAACTCCAACTGCCACTGGGGCTCCTCGTCTTGATTTGGATATTAAAGAACATGAAGTTACAGTTGCTCCTGAAAGAGAAGAAGAAAGCGAAAAGGCTACGCCTACTCCTGAAACCGAAGATGATCAAAAATCAACTGAAGCTCCTGAAGACGTAGAAGCCGAAGGAAGCGGAGAGGTTAAGCCTGAAGGAGAAGGTGTTGAAGAAGGTGTGAAGGCCACAATTGCTCCTGAAATAGCCGGTATTGAGAAAACTACCAAAGCTCCTGAGGTCGAAGGAAGTGGAGAGGTTAAGCCTGAAGGAGAGAGTGTTGAAGAAGGTGAGAAGACCACAATTGCTCCTGAAATATCCGGTATTGAGAAAACTACCAAAGCTCCTGAGGCCGGAGGAAGCGAAGAGGTTAAGCCTGAAGGTGAAAGTGTTGAAGAAGGTGAGAAGACCACAATTGCTCCTGAATTCGATGGCATTGAGAAAACCACCAAAGCTCCTGAGGTCGAAGGAAGCGGAGAGGTTAAGCCTGAAGGAGAGGGTGTTGCCGAAGGTGAGAAGACCACAATTGCTCCTGAAATAGCCGGTATTGAGAAAACTACCAAAGCTCCTGAGGCCGGAGGAAGCGGAGAGGTTAAGCCTGAAGGTGAAAGTGTTGAAGAAGGTGAGAAGACCACAATTGCTCCTGAATTCGATGGCATTGAGAAAACCACCAAAGCTCCTGAGGTCGAAGGAAGCGGAGAGGTTAAGCCTGAAGGAGAGGGTGTTGCCGAAGGTGAGAAGACCACAATTGCTCCTGAAATAGCCGGTATTGAGAAAACTACCAAAGCTCCTGAGGCCGGAGGAAGCGGAGAGGTTAAGCCTGAAGGTGAAAGTGTTGAAGAAGGTGAGAAGACCACAATTGCTCCTGAATTCGACGGCATTGAGAAAATTACCAAAGCTCCTGAGGCCGGAGGAAGCGGAGAGGTTAAGCCTGAAGGTGAAAGTGTTGAAGAAGGTGAGAAGACCACAATTGCTCCTGAATTCGACGGCATTGAGAAAATTACCAAAGCTCCTGAGGCCGGAGGAAGCGGAGAGGTTAAGCCTGAAGGTGAAAGTGTTGAAGAAGGTGAGAAGACCACAATTGCTCCTGAATTCGATGGCATTGAGAAAACTACAACAGCTCCTGAGGCCGAAGGAAGCGGAGAGGTTAAGCCTGAAGGTGAGAGTGTTGAAGAAGGTGAAAAGGTCACAATTGCTCCAGAAATCGCCGACATTGAGAAAACTACCAAAGCTCCTGAGTCCGAAGAAGTCGAAGGAAGTGGAGAATCTAAACCTGCAGAAGAGAGTCTTGGAGAAGTTGCCACGGTTGCACCTGAAATTGAGGATATTAACAAACCAACGCCAGCTTCAAAGATCGAAGAACTTGAAGGAAGTGGACAGGATATTTCTCAAGATGAAAAGGTTACAGATTCTCCTCCTGAGAAAGTTGAAAAGATCACCATCTCTCCTGAAATTGAAACCAGCGAAGAATTTGATACTGCCGATAAGGTCACTGTTGCTCCTGCAAGTGAAGAAGCTGAAGAATCCACAGCCGTTGCTGAAGTCGAAAGTGATGAAACTCCCGAAAAAGCTACTTCCTCCCCTGAAGTTGAAGACACTGAAACTCCTAAGATTGAAAGAATTGATGTGGAGAAGACTACACAAGCTCCAGAAGTGGACAGTTCCGAAAAGGTTAGTGTTGCTCCTGAAACCGAAAAAGCTGAGAAACCAACTACAACTCTTGGAGTTGAAGGAGCGACTGTTGCTCCTAGTGATATTGGCACTGCTGCACCAAGTTTGGAAGAATCTGAACAGGCTACTCATGCTCCTAAAGTTGAAGATATACAAAAGGGCACTGATGTTCCTGAATTCGAAGACACTCAAAAGGTTACTACTGCCCCTGGCTTCGAGAAAGAAGAAGCTTCTGAGTTTGAAGACGTTGATAAGGTCACTGCCGCCCCTGGTTTTGAATTATCTGAAGTGGAGAAGGCAACACCTGCTCCTGAGGTTGAAGACGTTGACAAAGTCACTGTTGCTCCCGCTGTCGAAAAAGTTGAAATTTCTGAAGGACTCGAAAAGGTTACTATTGCTCCTGGAAGCGAAGAAGCTGGAAAAGCTACTGTTCTTCCTGCATTTGAAAAGGATGAAATTACAGAGGAAATCGAAAGAGTCACTGCTGCCCCTGGCACCGAAGCATCTGAAGCGACCACATCTGTTGCTGATGTGGAGAAGTCTACATATGCTCCTGAAATTGAAGACATTGATAAGGTTGCGATTGCTCCAGGTGTCGAAAAGGACGAAGTTCCCGAAGATATCGAAAAGGTCACAGTTGGTCCCAGCATCGAAGAAACTGAAAAGGCAACTATCGCACCTAAACTCGAGGAGGACGAAATTGTGGAGAAAGCTACCATCGCTCCTGAAGTCGAGGGTATCCATAAGGCCACTGTTGCTCCTGACATCGAAAAAGTCGAAGAAGAATCAGCCACTCCTGTTATCGAACAAGACGAGGTTACTCCTGTCCCTACTGTTGAACAACCTGACAATATTTCAGGCAAACCCGTTACCGATGGTGAAAACGCAACGGACACTCCAACTTCTGATGAGGAAATCGAAAAGGCTACTGCCGCACCTGGATTGGGCGCTGAAGTCATTGATGAAAGCAAGAAGGATATTCCAGAAATTCAAGAAGTCACTACCGCTCCAATTGGAGAACAAGTTGAAGGCATTACCGGTGCTCCTCGCCTGGACTTACATATCGATGAAATAACCATTGCACCTATTGTACCATCCGCAGAAGAAGCCGCCCAAGCAACCACACAACATCCTGAAGTGAGCGGGTCCAAGGTTACTCCAGCAACTGCTGTAGTTGCTGATCTAGAATCTGTGGAGGAAAGCGATACTTCCGTTGAATCCGAAGAAGAGAGCTCTACTGAACACAAGGTACAGCATGTCGGAGAATTTGTTACCGATCATATCTTGCACAGTACAACAGAGAGTGCTATTAAACCTGCGGAACCAACGAAGGGCGATAAGGCAGACGATTCCGGTGAAGAGGGAGAAGATGTTGAGGACATTACGTCTGAACCTATCGTGAAACCAGAACTTATTGGCGCAGACATGGTTGCAGTGACTGATAAGCCAACAACTGACAACGTGACACAAGAACCTGAAAGCGAAGAGGAGGGCATCAAGGATAAACAGCCTGCAACAGTTGCAACAGAAATCGAAATCGATGAAGATAAACAATTAACAACAAGGAAACCTGATGTTGAAACCGAAGCTGTAGCAACCTTCAAGCCAGAAGTCGAAGTTGAAGAAGAGAAACAACCTTCTGAGAGCATTACTCATGCCGAAAGTGAGGAAGATAAACAGTCAACTACTATCAAACCCGCAGTTGGGCCTGTAGAGGAAGAACAAACCGCCACTAGCAAGCCAATAGTAGAATCTGAAGACGAGAAGGTACCTGCCACGGCAGCTCCTGAACTTGAGTATGCAGAAGATCAACAACCGGGTACAGCCAAACCAGACGTCGAAATTGAAGATGACAAACAACACGAAATTGAATCCGAAGAAGAGAAGCAGCCAACAACAGACCAGCCTGAAGTGTCATCTGATGAAGAGAAGATACCTGTCACCGCCGCACCGGAAGTCACATTCGAAAAAGAAAAGGAAACTGCCACGTCTCAACCAGAAGTAGAAGAAGAGTTACAACAAGCGACTGTCAATCCCGAGATTGAGCCTGAAGAAGAAAAGGTATCTGCTACAGCTGCTCCTGGAGCTGCTGAAGAGGAAGAAAAGCAACCAGCCACAGCCATACCTTCCGAAGAAGTGCAACCAGCAACATCACAAGCTACGGTTGAATCGGAGGAAGAGAAGATATCTGTCACAACAGCAGAAGTTGAATCTGAAGTACAAACGGAAGGAGTTGGTGGCGAAGAACAACAACCAACGTCAACTAAACCTGGAGCTCAGTCTGAGGAAGAGAAGATACCTACCACAGCTGCTCCTGGAACAACACTTGAGGAAGAGAAACAGCCAGCAACTGCTAAACCAGAAATTGAAAAGGATGAAGAGCAACAACCAGCAACAGCTGAACCTGAGGAAGAAAATATACCATCCACTGCTGCCCCTGGAATAGACTCTGAGGAAGAGGAACAGTTCTTAACAACAAAACCAGAGGTTGGATCTGAAGAAGAACACGCACCTGAAACTGGATCCGAGGAAGAGAAACAACCAGCAACAGCTAGGCCAGAGGATGAAACTGAAGAAGAAAAGGTACCTGTTACAGCTGCTCCTGGAACAACACTTGAAGAAGAGAAACAGCCAGCAACTGCTAAACCAGAAATTGAAAACGAAGAAGAGCAACAACAAACAACAGGTAAACCTGAAGAAGAAAAGATACCATCCACTGCTACACCTGGAGCCGACTCTGAAGAAGAGAAGCAACTAGCAACAGACAAACCAGAAGAAGAACAGTCTGCAACAGCGAAACCTGAGGCTGCATCTGAAGAAGAACACGCAATTGAAACTGGATCCGAGGAAGAGAAACCACCAGCAACAGCTAAGCCAGAAAGCGAAACTGATGAAGAAAATGTGCCTGCCACAGCTGCCCCTGGAATCGAAATTGCTACAGAGAAACAACCAGCGACAGAGAAACCAGAAAGTGAACAACTCGCAACAACAAAACCAGAAGTAGAACATGAAGAGGAGCAACCAACAACTGCGCAGCCAGAAACAGAAGCTAAAGAAGAGAAAGAACCTATTACAACAGCCGCTGGAATCGAACATGAAACACCGTCCGAACAAGAGAAAGAAACAGCTACATCTAAGCCACAGGACGGAAAAGAAACCGAAGAGCAGCAACAACCAGCAACAGCCCAACCTGATATCGAGTCTGATGAAGAGAAAATACCTGCCACAGCCGCGCCGAGCGCTTTGTCTGAGGAAGATAAGCAACCAGCAACAACCAAACCTGAGGACGAATCAGTCGAAGAGCAAGAAGCAGCAACTGCGAAACCCGTGTATGAAACCGAAGGTGAGAAGCAACACGCAATTGCTGAAGAAATACCCAGCAGCTCGACTGAAACAGCAGAACCATCAGAGGGAGCAGACATCAGCTCTGCTGAAAAGGAAAGCATCGGAACAACCGGACATCCACTCTTCCCACACATTGTCACTACACTGCCAACACCAACGATCGACAGTCGCATCGATATCGCCAATACGACAGCACAACCCGAAATTATCGCCGAAACAACAACACCAACAAACCTCATCGGCGGCGATGTGCTCATTACCACACAACCCACAATTACACACTATCCACCACCAGCGCCAGTCTACGGTCAATATCCATCCTACAATGATGAATATCCCGACGAAGACGAATCCGAAGTATTCGGACCAGGCACTTGTCGTTATGGCGGTAAACTTTACGTATCCGCCCAGCAAATACCCCGGGACGATCCATGCGATTTCTGCTTCTGCTTCAGAAGTGATATTATCTGCTTACAACAATCTTGCCCGCCACCAATCGCTGGCTGTCACGAAGAACCAATCTCTGGTTTCTGTTGTCCACGATACGAATGTCCGGTGTCGATGGCGACAACATTGAATATCACCACGAGTACGACAACAACAAGCACAACACTGCCGCCACATTTCCTGCATCACTCATATGGCGGCGCTGTGCAACGAAATGGCTGCCTGATCAATGGCAGATCGTACAGAGTCGGAGAGAAGATCGAATCGACAAGCGGTCCATGCATCAATTGCACGTGAGTATTTACAGAACTGACTTAACTAAGAAGTATTGGAATTGAAGTTTTTGTTCTTTTTCCACTTAATTCTTTTCAGTTGCGGCGGCGATGGAAAAATGAAATGTGATCCTCAGGCGTGTGTGCCCGAACCGACGATGCAGCAGGTGATGGCTGTTGTCGCGAGCGGCAGGAAAAGATGAAATAATCGTTAAGCATAAAATGCTTACGAATACAACAGCAGCAACAGCAGCAACAGCAACAGCAACAACAACAACACTGTACACACAAACACGACACACACACGCACATGCACACTGAAACACAGAGAAAGACTAGTTTGATAGAGATACATACATACACGTATATATTATAATATATAAATACGAGTATATGATTGAATCTGCAAACCCGGTGCCAAAACCACAATGAAATATTATGGAAATATGGATGATAAGGTGGAGGATTATGTTGTAGGCGAAAGAAAAAAATTATGCGCAAAAAAAACACACAAAAACAAAAACAAAAACACGTAAACAAATAGATACGAATTAAACGCGTAATGCTTTCGAAGTGAAAAATGAGAGATGGGCACACATACAGGCGTACTACATGCATGCATACGTGTACATACATATCTGCGTATGTGTTGTATATGTAGCTCCTTTTTTTCTTTGAATACGCAATAAGGGTTTATTACATGTAGTTATTAATTAGGTATAGACTATATTTATATATATATATATGTACATGCGAATATTTTTATTTAGTTTTTTTTATTTTTTGTTTTTTATTTTTTTTCAACTAGCATACGAGCAAACAACCAGTGATATTGTGCTGTATACCTAGTATAGGTGCAATTAACAATTTTTTTTTTTTTTTTTTTGTATTTAAGGACGCACTTACTTAAGCGAAATTTTTTGTTTGTGTAATTTGTAATTGTAAAGAAAGAAAAAAACACGAAAAGCGTAGTAGAAAACAAACAAACAAAAAAAAAAACTAACGTAATTTAATATTATAAAAATAAAAATAAAATTTAGTAATGTTTGTAACGCAGTTCTTTGTGCGCGAACGATTGCAAGGGCACGAAGTGAAGGGAAAAATAAACATATGAAAAAAAAAAAAAAAATTCAAGAGACTCTCAAACATAACGAAAAAAATATGTTAAATTAAAACTAGAAAGAAAAAACCGCTTCGTGTGCGCTGCAAATTGTGGCCGACACAAAGAATAACGTTATGAACTGTAAAAGCTTTGCCATTAACTATATTTGTATTTAATATATACATACTTATTCAACTGCTATACCAGCTATTCTCTAGCAACTAATTTTAGTCTAATGATTTATTTTTTTTTTTTACTATTTTCTATGAAGTAAATTTTGCAAAACGATTAAAATGTTTATTTTTTTTTAACTATATATTATATGTATGTTGCTACTAGTCTTCTAACATTGAGCAACAAAAAAAAGAACGAACGATTTATATTTTTTCTTTTATATTTTCAAAAATTTAAAAAAAAAAAATTTTAATTTAATTCTTTCCAAAAATTTTTTAACCTATAATTTTGCAACACGCGCTCTTTGAAGTTTCCTTATTATTATTTTTTTTTTTTGTTTTTCAACGGAACGCTTTTCCTTAACGCATAAGAAACGCTAAGTCATTGCAGCTTATGCGCGCCAAATTTTCGAAATATCACAAACACATATGCGCACATGTACTACTGTGAAGAAAAAAAAAAGTTTATTTCAAAATTGAAAATTTCCAACAAAAAAAAGAAAATCCGCGCACATGAAAGTTCGAGAAAGTTGAGCGTGCAAAATGGCTAGCAAGTGCATGAAGCGCGTGTAAACGATTTGTATTGTAAAAATAAAAAGTTAAAAAAAATACATATATATATACATATGTATGCAATGTTTAGTAAACATACAAAAAAAACTGCAAATGCAACAAACACTTATCACTAATGCTCGACTGATTGAAAATTTTTTAACTTTAAATAATAAATGCATAGTCTTTAACGAAAAACTAAATAAATGAATAAATGAATAGTAATTATTAATATTTGTAAGTTTTTTTTTAGATATAAACTACAATTTAGCACACTGAAAACACGTATACACACACACACAGGCACACACACACAATAGTAATGAATTTTGCTATAAATGCAACGAAAATTAAAGTTAAAATAATATTCAAACACACAAACAAGTGTATGTGTAGCATACAACAACTATACATAAGTAATTAATGCAACATTAAAGTGAGTAACGTCAACATATTATATATACATGCATAGAAATACATAGGAAAAATAGTAACTTTTCAACGCAATTTTCAGTCACTTGAGCTTTAGCAGTGAATTTTTACAAAAAAACAAAAAAAAAACAAAAAACAGGCCACAGAAAGCGCCCGAAATATTCACTTTTTTAAACGATTAGGTAAAAGCAACAGCAAAAAAAAATGTATTAAAATTATGGTTAGTATATACGAGAAACGAATTAAACATAAAAGTAAAAAAAAATATCTATATAAAGAAAATAAACAGCGAATAGTTTATAGAAATAAAACGGCTTAGTTATATCTACAATTAAACGCATATACATATAAGTCGTAGCATAAAAACAAAAGGAAAACCCACACAAACGGAACTTACTACGAAAACACATACATATTATGCAACAAATACAAAAGTTAAACTTAAATAAATACACAAAAACAATAGCACAAAAATATTGATTAGTAAAACCACAACTTAGATTTTATATTTAAAAAAAAAAAAAGAAGAAAAATAACAATAATAATAGCAACGTATAACTCATTCAATAAGTAATATTACACATATTATACACACTTGTGTAAGTAAATTGTGTGACCAACTCTTGGATTTCTCAAGCTAATAATATTTTTAATTTTTTTTTTTATATAATTTTTATTTTCACAATTACCTTTTTTATTTGCCAATATGTATATGTAGTTTAATCTGTACAATTCACAATTGTCAGAAAAAAAAAATATAACAAAATGAATAAAATTAAATATTGAATGAAAACATACATTCGCGGGTGTATACGCAAATTGTAGATATTAAACTGAACAATTATTTCTGTATTCAATTTAAAGAAATTTTAATTTTTTTATATAAATCAGTTTTAGCAATAACTTAATACGATATTATATATAAGTAAATATTATTATAATAATTTTTTATATTTTGTTCAAAATAAAAGGCGATAATAAATTATTGTATGAAATGTAAAAAAAAAAAATTGTTTTTATTCATTTGCAATGTTAACTTCTATCTGCCTGTCGGAATAAAAGTAAGTAAACTTGGTAATCAATAATACGAATACCAACAATTCCACGAAATTATCTTACTATTTCCTTGGAATTATTGCTAGTCTCCTTAAGGTCAAAAAATTATTTGTGATTTTTATAATTCGTAATATATAATTCATAATATAAGAGGCTAACCATTAAAAAAACACACCTAAGAAGCGATCTTATAATCCTCTAGCGTAGCCTCATTTTAAATAGAAAATATTTCTGAATTTTGTTTTGCCAGCATAATACAGAAAGGACCGATTATGCTAAACTCCGCAAGTCATCTACAGTTTTTTAATTCATAACTATGTATGTATATGAGCCTGAATTACGGTTGTACATGCATACATATATACAACAACAATCCTTGTGATTTTGATGTTCAACATGCTATATTGTGCATACGTTTTCATCACTAAGATAAATTGAATATACTTACACTGATTAGTTTAGGAATTAATGCCTTTTGCGTTTCACTACACACAGAAACTGCATTCTCAAAGCGGCGAATAGTTATAAAGGAACATACAATAGCAGCATTTACTTACAACTCTCACGACAGCCGGTTCTACGCACCGGAGTTGACCCGGATTTTATCCGGCCAAGGGCTGTCACCTTTTCTACGACCTAACCCCGTTTAGGTCAACAGGTAACATTAATCTAAGTTCGCCAATGGAGCAACACCTTGCAACAGAGTTGCTCCCAATCCTTCTGATCAGGACTGGTGTCGAAACCAAGCCTGGTCCGACGGACTATTTCTGCTGCGTGTGTCACAAAAGACTCCACCACTCCTCCATCTCGGACCTGCAACCTCTCCTCTGGGGCAACCAAGCTTTGGGCTACAGTTAAGTCGCTGTCTAACCCGACGAGACGTGATGACCGGATGGAAATTTCATTCGGTGATCGCGCCTCGTCGGACCCGAAGTGATGCGCGAGCTATTTTAGCCGACTTTTCACACTGCATCCCTTGGTAGACAAAGCGAAACGACGTGTAACCCGCCGTATGCGCAAACAACCAAACACCAGCGCGGTGCTTGATTTCTCCAGGGAGGAGGTTCAGGGGATGATCGGGAAGGTGAAAGCCTCCAAATCCATCGGCCCCGATGGAATAAGCAGGCTGATGCTAAAACACCTAGGACCAGCGGGAGCAGAATACCCGATTTGTGGAAAATGGGTAGAGTAATCCCGTTACTAAAAGCGCATCAGCATGGCTTCCGAAAAGTGCACAGTACCACAACAGCACTTAACGCCATAAGCACCCAGATAGTCCAAGGCTTTAACCAAAACCGAACCTGCGCGCGAACTGTCCTGGTAGCATTGGACTTGTCAAAAGCTTTTGACACAGTCAATCAATCAGCGCTACTAACGGACATTGAGGAATCCTCATTACTGTCGGGGTTGCGTAGGTGGGTCATGGGATACCTGAGTGGTTGACAATCGTCGGTAATATTCCGAGGTGTAACATCTAAACGCAGGAAAATTAAACAGAGGGTTAGGCAGGGTGGTGTCCTCTCCCCGCTACTGTTGAATTTCTACATTTCGAAACTCCCTCCACCACCAGAAGGAGTTTCCCTAACCTCTTATGCTGATGATTGTACGATAATGGCTTCTGGCCAGTATATTGACGACCTCTGTTTGAAAGTGAACGGCTACCTCGCTGATCTCTCCCACTTCTTCACTGCAAGACAGCTAAGAATATAACCGACGAAATCCTCGGCTACCCTCTTTACCAGCTGGACGAAGGAGTACAGGCTTGAACTAGATGTGAAGGTCGATGACATAAAACTTCCGACGGTAAATAACCCAAAAATATTGGGAGTAACACTAGACAGCCTGCTCTCCTTCACTCCGCATAGTGTACGACTGCAATTGTCGCGAAATTTCAGAGCCGCAACAAAATAGTCAAAGGACTAGCCGGCAGCACCTGACAAAGAAACTTTGCTGGCTACTTATAAGGCAATTGGTCGGCCGGTCGTAAACTATGCTGCACCGATCTGGGCGCCGAGGACGAACGAGACGCAGATGAAAAAGCTACAGGCTTACCAGAACATCGCCCTCAGGACCGCGACAGGAAACTTCCTAATGTCGACGGAGCATTGCCCCAGTAGGAACCTAATAGAAGGGAACCTCCACCTAGGCACATCAGAAAGGGAGTACTAGATTTAAAGGACACAATCCAGCAAACATGTACAACAACCGCTGGACAGGACGGCGTACCGACAAGCACTGAACGCCATTCACCAGGAGTCAGTTAACACCTTCAAGAACTCCCTTCCAGTGAATGGCGTACTCGGAGAAAAGCCACCACCTATAGCAGACAACGAGCTCGAGCTGCCTCGAGAGACCCACGTGACCCCGACACAACTTACTTCTGGATATTGTAGCAGGTTAAACTTCTACTTATCCAGACTAGACTTCAGCATACCCAACGGATGCCCTGTATGTGGAGAGTCTCCGCACGACACTAACCACCTCTTCACATGCCCTCTCAATCCAACTCATCTAACCCCCCCCCCCCCTCGTTTCTTGGACCTCCCACTAGATGCCTCAACGGGGTTAGCGAACCGCTACAACAACAACAAAAGCCGCATTTACTTAAAAAACAAATATTATTTTCATTTCAAACATTTGTTTGATGTACTAAAGGAAACTCAAGCCTTCACCGGAAGCATTGTCTTCTTTTCCGGTCGTTAGGAGTAATTACTCTTAAGCCAATCTTTATAAAATTTACTTAAAACAAGTTATTTTATGTAAATTACACTGACACAATTGGATTTTCTTAACCATATATTTACTCAGCCATTAAAGAAATTTTAAAAGGCACAAAACTGAATTTCACATTTCAGCGGCAAACTGTAAATGTGAATATTCATTTCTCCATCGTCATGTATGCTCGATAGCATTTCCTGTTTTTATCGACGTATTGTTTCACAGCTTTGTTTCATAAGCACAACGCAGCTGGCACAACTGCAAGTAACATTTTGTTCTAAATATTATATTGCATGTATATTTTAGAGAATACAATTCTTGTTTACTTCTCTTTAATTTTCTAACGTATATCATAAAATTTAGAAATTTTATTTTTAGTTACCATCTGGTAGTTGATGCGACAATAATCGATATAACCAGCAATAATCGGTACCATCTACATCGCAGCGAAAACAGCTGTTTATTGACATTTGCACTCAATTTAATTGACAAACTTACACAGGTCTGTTTTCCAATTTTTACATTAAATTAAAATCGCTAAATATGAGTAGCAAATCAACAACTAAAACTGGTGAAATAGTCGCTTATAGCGAAGCAGCTATACGTGGAAATATTTCTGCTGTAGAATATTGCCGTACATCGATGGCTGCGCTATCCGGTTGTGCCGCAGGTATGCACGCCTTTTTTTCTGCATGTAATGTTTATAGACGTAATTTTCTTAACATAAAATTACAGGTATTTTAGGATTAAATGGATTACTTGGCTTTTTGTTCTACTTCCTATCGGTATTTGTGCTGTGGCTTCTAGTTTTGGCAAAATCCGGTACACAGTGGCGTAAATTTTTCATTAATCGCCAGAGCCTACTGACCAATAACTTCATGGGCGGCTTATGCACCTATGTTTTATTTTGGACATTCCTTTATGGCATGGTACATGTGTATTAAAGTAATATTTATAATACGAGTGTAATTTTTTTATAGTCAACTAAGAAACTTTATAGGACATACATATTCACTAAAATTAAATATGGATAAAACTAAAAATTAAATAGTTCTATGAATTAAAATACCAAACAACACACATTTGTAAAAAAAAGATCACAATTTGACAAAGCTATCAATTTCAGCGTTTACAAACATAACTATTACAATTATGTTGTAAAGAATAGTAGTTTGGGTAGGTATTAAATTAAGTTTCATTTTACTTTTCATAATGAAACATAATATTTATTTAACTAAAAAACTATATCGTGCATTTTAAAATCAATAAATTCAAAAAAATTAAATAAATTATGACAGCTGCGTTACGAGCTTATAGCACAGTTCATTCCTTACGTACACTCATGTCGACACAGCAGATGCAGCCACAGCGTTACCGGCACAGTCACACCATGGCGTTTCTTTGAAGTCACATTCGAGCAATATATTTAAAACTGTTATGTTAATACCATCTATGGCCATCTCGTGAACTTTCAAGATTTTATAATTAAGCGTATTGAGACCAGTTTCACGGTCTCTTTTTCGAGTTACTTCTTTTTGATTAAAACATTTTTGCGTATCACGCTTTCGATGGTACCGATTATGTATATGACTGCAAAGAAAGCATATATGTATGTTAAAAGTTTTTTGTTTGCACAGCTTTTTATTTTGCATACACACCTAAATGTGTCATTGACACCTGTTTTAATATTCTCTGGCCGTGTGACCCTCAAACCGGCGTCACGAATACGAACATAGAATTCGTCATCCTCCAAGCCCCAGCCCCAGTATTTGTTAGACATACCATTAACTTCTTTGAAATGTTCACAACGTACTAATAAAATACCACCCACAAACGTCTCGTAATGATATTTCGGATGCAATTCAGGTGCTGCAATATGATGTGGACCTGCATCACTTGGGTATTTATATAGCAATGCATCATTCATCGGCAACAAGTCTACATCATGCATGGCAATATAATCATAAACTTCACTTGTAAAGCGGAAGCCGACATTGATGAGTGAAGCACGATTAAATCGATATCGATCCACCTGATTGAGTAGAAATATTTTATGCACTATTCCCTGTCTTTTGAGGAACTTTGTCATGTGTGGCACAAATTGAAGCAACTCTTCGAATCGATCTCGAAATGGTACTAACACTGCTAGTTTGTGCTCAGATTTTGGTATCGTAGCTTGTACTTCGTCATGAACTTTGTACAGCTCAGAGCTGGTTTTCTTTTGGCCGCGGCTCAATGGGCAAATACAATCTGTGAAAATGTAATGTTTATCAATTAAGAAGGTTGTTATATTTAATGTTATTGTCATCACCTGAACTCAATGGCATAAGACTCAACACTACAACTCCGCCCAAGCAAAATGCCAGCCCGCACACAAACAACCAGTTGATAGTTCCCATTGGTATCATTGCGGTTTTGGCTTTCATTACATGAGTATTCGTTTAAGACACACCTAAAAGTTAATCAGTCACATTCTCTGTGATAACTAAACTATAATTATGATAATAATTCTTTAAATGGTGTCACAAATATATTTATAATTGCTATGGTTTAAAAATATACATTTTCGATACAGAGGTTAAAATTAAATTTGGCAAATCAGCTGATTGTGCCGAACGCGTTGCCAGAAAGTTAAAGTTAAGGTAATTCATTGCAAAACTTCACAATCAGAAAACTACTGTGGCGAAAATTTCTAGTACGATAGTGAGGTGAGAAGGAGAGACCGTAATTAATTCGTGTTCTAGACCGGGTGTTTCCAAAATTTGTTACCGAGAACAATCAAAGCAAAACCTTGTAACGAGTATTCTTTAGGTATAGCATGATCTTTGGAGTGCGGAACTTGGTAGTGACAATATAGGTGTTAGCTGAACAGGTAACGATGTGTTTAGGGGAGAATAAGCTATGTGTTTTTTTGACAGTTTTATAGTTAGTTATTTTTGAGGCATTGCTAAGGGGCATGTTTAAGTGCATCGATAGGGTCACGTGGCCTGGATAGGGTGAGAGCCACAGATAACAAAACATCTAATATTTATTAAGTCGTATAATATTTTGGAAAAGTATTTTAATTTATATTTTTTTATGGCGAAAATGCAAATACGAATATCAGATGAAAGAGAGAGCGACCGAGAACTACAGCATGTTTCAAATGTTCGTTATCGAGCACATTCAAATAGTATCTATTAGAAGATACTACGGACATTGAGGAATTCTCACCACCGCCGGTGTTGCAGAGGTGGGTCATGGGCTACCTGAGTGATCGACAATCATCGGTAACATCAAAACCCAGGAAAATTAAACAGGGGGTTCCTCAGGAGGTGTCCTCTCCCCGCTACTGTTCCCTCCACCACCAGAAGGAGTTGCCCTAACCTCTTATGCCGATGATTGAATGATAATGGCGTCTGGCCAGTATATTGACGACCTCTGCTCGAAAGTGAACGGCTACCTCGGTGATCTCTCTCACTTCTTCACGTTGTAAATTATGCTGCACCGATCTGGACACCGGGGACGAACGAGCCGCAGATGAAGAAGCTACAGGCTTACCAGAACATCGCCATTAGGACCGCGATAGGAAACCTCCTGATGTCGCCGGAGCATCACTTGCACAGCGTAGCATCTGTGCTAAGAGTTAAGGAGTACTCCAGTAGGCACCTAATAGAAGCTGAACCTCCACCCAGGTTCAGATAAGCACTGAACGCCATTCACCAGGAGTTAGTCAACACCTTCAAGGACTCCCTTCCAGTGAATGGCGTACTCGGAAAAAAACCACCACCTATGGCAGATAACGAGCTCGAGCTGCCTCGAGAGACCCACGTGACCCCGACACAACTTAGATCTGGATATTGTAGCAGGTTAAACTCCTACCTATTCAGACTAGACCCCAGCATACCCAACGTATGCCCAGCATGTGGAGAGTTTCATCTAACCCTCACTCTCCCTTTGTTCCAACCCCGTCGAAACTGCCAAAGTAAGAGTTATTTACTAACGGAAAGATATCCACGAAGGATCAAATAAAAGTGAATAAAAGGCTCCAGTAAGGGTATGGGCATGTACGATCTTCGACCATGTTCTTTCACCGTGTCCCTCTCAACAATATAACCTTCTAAACCATTATGCACGAGCAACGAGAGGAATAAGGTCTACAAAAAATAAACAGAGCTTACTGTAAACACAACAAAACAGGTTTTGCGAAGAATGATTTGTAATCAATTAACACCATAGTAGTCTATCAATGGCTGATGTAACGGTTGTTACTGTTGTATAGGCTATAATTTATTAAATAACTTAAATATATATTACTAGGTTAAATTTCGCTGAAATACTTATCAATAACTTCGCATTATTTACTCGCTCGTGTCGAGTATATACGAGTATATCGCAACCGTTGAAGCGATTTTCGGCCGAGATTCTGCTCCCATTTGTGGTAAACGTTCTTGTTTCCCCACCCCCTGCCGAGGAGTGACCGCGATTACAAAAATTAATTTTTTACATTGGTTAGACCAGGATTTGAACGTTGGCCTTCTGAATGGCAAGGCGCAATGTAAACTACTTGGCTATTGCAGTCGAATGTGTAACTTAACGGAAATATAATTTCTGTCCTACTTGCTTGGTGGGCGTTTCAAGCTAGAGAGTACCGATTATATTAACAATTTCAAAAATTATTGCATCAATTCGGGGAATATTTTGCGGTTATAATAACAACCACAACCGAAAGGAGAAGAGGTTAGTATAAATATTACGTTATAGCCATGTAACCGTTGGAGGTGGTAATAGCAAAGATCCAAAGGTTTTCTTCAGATGAAACAATTATTTAATAGAAGTGAACAGATTGGGGGATGGGGCCATGTGTAGAAGTTCACGCAAGTGAGAAAAAGTTTTTGACTTCGATTCACCTGGGAGTGACCGTTTCTTTTGCATATGGTTCAAGCAGCTCACGACTTCCGGTCTTAAACCAAGTATCCCCTGGGTAACCAACAAACATCCGTTTGGGAGCGAGCTCAAGTGAGAAGGCGAATCCCATGCGGTTGTGCGTAGGGCTTAGCATCCATCACATGAAAAATAAACTCCAATGAGGAATTGTATTATGCCTCGGATGAGAGACCCCCTTTTGATGACGACCCCGGCAAATGTTCTAAGAATATCGATTTGAGGGCATGCACCAGGAATATCCGGTACTTTAATTGGAAAGGTACCGCTGCTCAGCTGGTTGATGCCCTCATAAAATCAAAGACTGACATCGCCGCCGTCCATGAAATGCAATGAACGGGACAAGGACGAAAAAAGGTGGTTCCTTGGGAAATTTACTACAGCGGCCATATGAAGGAGCGCAAATTTGGTGTCGGATTCGTGGCGGGAGAGAGCTTCCGTCGCCGACTACTGGCATGGATAACTTTTCCCAAGATGCCTTTAACGAACGCCTCTCTTAACACTTATGGCGCTGCCCCCGTCACGACGTCAAAATTGTGCTTGACGATTGCAACGCTAGGATGGGCACGACGAAACATCCCAATTTGGACTGACGCTGATCGAATTCGCCAGGGCACGAAATATGGTTGTCTGTAGCACTAGATTCCAGCACAAAAAAGTTCATCAAGCTACTTGGCTGTCCCCTAATCGAAAAACTTTCAACCAGATCGATCATGTTGTTTTAGACGAAAGGCCGGTGGGGGAATTAGGTTTTATCAAGATAACGCCAGAGCACACACATCGGCAGTTATTCGCCAGAAGCTCGGAGAGCTTGGTTAGGAGGTTCTTTCTTATTCATCCAATTACAGTCTGGACCTAACACCAACTGAGTAACCAGGAATCGATATATTCGAAAAAGGAGCACATGGAGCTATGGATGTGAAGGCAGGGAGAGAAGTCCTAAAATTTTTGCCATCTAGCTTATGAAAAATTCCTAAGATTAGTCGAAAGGTAACTGTAAGTGATGGAAAAATTTTTATGGGATGAAAGCCAAGAAGTCCTGCTGGCCCTTAGCCCGTATGACTCCAGCAAATTTTCAACTAAATCCTAGTTTAAGTGATTATATCCTTCATATCCTACATAGTATGCTTGCTATGCATTATTAAGAATGAATCGGGGTGTGAGTTGGGTGTGACGATTGATGGATTGACTTGTACTTTTTTGTTTTTAATTTTTTTGTTTGACAAAAAAAAGAGGTACTAACCAAAGCTCTCAAGCTAATTTCAATTTGCGGTTACCAGACTACTGCAGTGTCTTCCCAGCAGAACTTATGGCAATTACGGACGCAGCCGAATGATTGCTTGGATCTCTGGTTACAAACCAATCAACCACCATATACTCGGATAGCCAAGCTGCCATCAGGCCTCTTCAGTTAATTACATTACATCAAATTCCACGGCGACACTCATACTGGAGTTGGCTTTCACCAAAAAATCCAGCACCATATGGCTTAATAAAAGAACTTGTAATGTGACTAGATTAAGTACTTTAATCTTCCTAGACAGATTCAGCATCAATAGAACAACTGGTATAGCAATCGGTCGGATCATTTTCTATAGATTATTGTCAAAACTGAAGAGGCGAAGGAGAGAAGGAGTCTGTCGAGCACGGTCTCTACAGCTGGTGTAGGTAATATTGCAGCAAACATTTTCTATACGGCTCGTATATCTTAGAAGGTGAGAAGTACACCGCAGCGGTACTACAATGGGCCTTCAGGTCTCAGTGCGTCAGCCACTCTGATAAGCAGTCCCATCAATTCAACTAAACTAAGCGTCAGTTTACAAAATCGTATAAGTTGGATACCGAAATCAGACATACCTTTTATGCTGGTATCGAAAGCTTTTTGAAAATCGACGAGGAAGTGGTGTCAGTCGTACCTCATTCAAAGATTTGGCGCATATTGAATATCTTTCTGATCAATTTTAGATTTTTCAGGTCTTAAGCCACACTGATAAGGTCCAATCAATTTGTTGGGGTCTGCTTCAATCTTTCACACAATACGTTCGATGGGTTTTTGGCATAAGGATATTGAGGAGACTTATTACCGTGGTAATTGGCAGTAGGGTTCTTCCCTTACTGGCAGAATTATTGTCCCAATTGTCAAAGGATTTTTCAAGTGATTGCCTCTGATGGAAGGAAATTTATGCGTTTCGCTGATCGTTAGAATCATGGTGGGTCAAGGTGACCTCACAGTCATACGTCACCTACAATGATCACATAATTACTTATGTCGGTTTTTACTTAATCAATTGTAATGATATTATAATTACGAATAGTATTAACCAAAAAAGCACACGCATACATGCAAATATTTTAACAAACTTTTTAAGATGTTTTAACAGTGTTTCAGCAAATTGTAGAAAAAAAGTCAAGTATTGTATATAAAACTCTTTTTTTCTATTTATATTGGTCAAGTAAAAAGTTCGTTCGGTTTTTTTCTAAGAGATGGCGTTATGGTCCATAGTACTAGTGTTGCGTGTCGCATCATGTCATACGATACGGCGCTGAAAACGTGTTTACTCGCGCTAAAAGTTTGTCTTTAACAGTTTTTCGATTGATTGACTCAGTACGTGGTGAGCGCTCGTCAAAGATGGACACCAGCAGCATAGCTATATTTTACCATTTTTCTTCGATCAA